AGTTTAGCTGCACATTTCTAAAATCACATTCCAAAAATAATTGCTAATTTAATAAAATAATCAATTTTTGATAATTAAAATTTTCTATAAATAATAAATTATACTAAAAAATTGGTTTTTTTTATTTTTCCTTACTGTTTTCCTTCATTTTCTCTGGGTTTTCTGTCTTGTGGGTAGTTGACGAGTCCATGTTTCAGGTGGTAGGAAGTGCAAGAAAATTTGTTGAATTTGGGATGGAATGAATTTGGGATGGGAAAGATGGGACCTTCGACCTCTTTTCTGCTATGTTCGTTTGGGCATTTGAATGTTTGTGTAACAAGATTTTGTATTTCCCAATCTGATGTTTTGTGCTTGGATTCTGGTTTCTGATCGAATTTTTTTCTCTGGGCATCTTTAAATTTGATTAATTTATCCTTAGTTTAGCTTGTTTATTTCTTCAATGGCAAAAGCTGAGGAAACTGGAAACGGAGAACCTTATGAGAGTACCTCCATGACCAATTTACCTAGAGATCTGCTACGGGGGTTCATGTCCAGCAACCATTTGTCTCGCAGAAACCAGCAAAATAGTGAGGAAGATGATGAAGATATAGAGCTTAGCTTGGGGCTTTCACTGAATGGTAGATTTGGGGTAGACCCAAGAGCCCAGAAACTTACTAGATCATCTTCAATACCAGATTTTCTCACCAATCCTTTGAGAAGAGATAGTAATGATACTTCTTGTGGGTTTCCAATGGCTAGTGCATCTTTGGTGAGGGCTTCATCCTTGCCCACAGAGACAGAGGACGAGTGGAGGAAGAGGAAGGAGTTGCAGACACTGAGGAGGATGGAGGCAAAGAGGAAGAGATCAGAGAAGCAGAGGAATTTGAAAGCTGCAAGAAATAGGGCTAGAGGTTCTGCAGAAGAGAATTGTGAGGATGATAAAAGAGAAGAGGCTGTTACTGGGAATTCTACTGAGTTCTTGCCTTTTGGGGTGCCTACTTGGGTTAATGGTGGCAGAGGAGCTTGTGGGATTGAAGTAAAAGGTGAAAAGGCCATTGATTTACAACAAGCTGTAACAGCACCACAAGGTTCAAATGGATCACCAGGGTGTGTTTCCATGGGGATTTCGGAATTTGAGGGTCAATCCGTTCAAGGTATCACAATCCTTCTCGTTCCTTTTTCAGTTGCAAGTTTTTAGTTTGATCACTAATTTGCATTTATTTATTATTATTTTTTTTTTTTGGTGCACTTTGTTTATGTGGATCTCAATTGTGAGAGTAAATCAAAACATTAGGTGTTTCATGTTGATTAATGATATTTTTGCCTGTACTTCTGCTCTTGTTTTTTTGTTATTTGATTGTGACACTAGTCCCTTAGCAATAAGTAGGGAAATTTGGATTCTTTTGGCGGCTTAAACTTTTTTAGTTTCACACCCTCTTAATACTTGATTGAGGCAAGATCTTTGAATATCAGTTTGCCTGATAGATGGGATTAAAGGGTGCCGAACTTTGGCATAAAAAATTCAGAAATTGCTGAACCTAATTTTTCCATGATTATGGCCACTTTGTTTTGATCTTATTAAAGGATTTGATTATGCCTGTCTTAGCCCAATACATAATGATATATAGTTGTTTGTTGGAAAATGAAAAGAAATTTCAGATTTTATTTCTAAACCAAACATCCTGTTGTTGGATCTTTTGGATGCTTGTTTTATGTTGTCATTGATCCTTCTTTTTCTTTTTTCTTTTTTTTTTTTTGAACAGCAATTTTGTCATTGATCATCTCGTTTTGCTGCTACAGTTATATCATCTTTTAATAACACTTAAACATTCAAACAGTCTAAGCCCCGATTCTCCTTGCATTTCCTCTGTTCCCTCATCATAGTACAACTTATGGCTAGAAGAGACTAGCAGATGACCAAAATTGCCTTGCTGTGTTATACTGTGAGGTGCTAGTAAATGGTACCTCTTTTCCTTCATCCGGGGTGACTTTGAATTGCAGGGTTTGTTTCAAATCTCCTTAGTAAGTATCAACATGATGGTGTTACTTGCTCTTTCGTTTAAAGTGTGACTTTGGAACTAAAGGTCATAAGATTTGCCAAAATACTCCAAGAGGTTACTAATCTTGTTGAACCAAAATACAGCTCTCTTGTCTATTTCTTCTTGTTCAAGCCATTCGAGAAAAAATGCATATTGCATGTTCATGACGGTTTCCCATAATCAATGTTAATGAAGTGCCAGTTGAATTTCTTACTTGTTCAACATCCTTAACTGTGAATTAGGTTGAGGCCATGCTTATTTTAAACTATATTGCAGGGACAAACAAATGTCTTGAAGCAAGAAAGCCTCCTATTGTTCAATCTTCAACAGAAACTGAGCAGAGAGAGAGGGTCATTGCCGGGAGGCTCCTGACTCAAAGATCCGAAAATTTTGCGGGAGTTGCAAAGGACAACCAGCTTGGAAACCAAGCCATTGCGGACAAGGGAGTTAAGGAAGCAGAGAGGAACATTTTGGAAGACATGCCTTGTGTGTCAACAACAGGTGATGGTCCTGACGGGAAAAGAATAGAAGGCTTCCTCTACAGATATGGAAAAGGCGAGGAAGTGAGAATTGTCTGTGTCTGCCATGGCAGCTTCCTCTCCCCTGCCGAGTTTGTTAAGCATGCCGGTGGTGGTGATGTAGAACACCCACTGAAGCATATAGTTGTTAACCCTTCTCCTTCCCTTTCGTAATGCATTGAAGGAAAGCAAAAAAACTAGAAAAGTCAATGAAATTTCACTTTCATTAATTGCAAAAGAAATAGCCCGCTTTTTTGATTACTGGAATAGGCCACTTATTTTTTTTTCTTCTTTGAGAAAGTAGACTTGAAACAATGGATGGAAGTTCTTGTATTGGCCTTCTGCTTACACTGCTAATCTGAAGAAAATATGAAATGGGAACCCGAAAATGATCGGAGAAAACATCAGAGGAATCATCTCTTTGTTCCTTCTCTAGGAAGTGAAACATCGGAGGTATGCCTTCTCCAGTCGTTTCTGATTCTGCCTCTTTAGGAGCTAAAAGGGTAATGGTAGTTGGATAACAGTACCATCAAAGTACAGAAAACTAGCTAATGATGGCAGATTTAGAAGATCTGTTTAGGGTGCTTGAGGTGTGCGTAGGATTATCTAGAATTAGGTTTTATGGTTGGGTAATAAGGGTACGGTGGGGATCAAGGCTTGAAGAAGGGTAGAATGATGGCTTGCAGCAGTAACAGTTCAACTCTTTCAATCCTTCAACAGGATACAAATGGAATTGACAACGTCAAATATATTTATGCTGGTGCATCTCTGGAGGACCTCACAGTAAGGAATAACTCTTCCTCTTCAAATATCTTCACACTTTTCTCTGGTTTGAACATAAGACCTTGAACTTGAAATATCTAAAGTTCTTAGCGGTTGAGATATCCCTTGAAGATCACAATTTCAAATGCTAACGTTAACTTCCCCCTTTAGTCTCTCTTAGCCAGAATATATAAAGGAACCATAAACCATGCCTCATAGGGCATAACCAGTAAATTTTATCTCAGCAGAAGCTTTGAATAAACAAGATAGCTATTGAAGCAACTATTCTATTTGTTTTATTAAACAAATGAAACTCAAATACACAGTGTACAACTTGGATATCGAACGTCTGCATTCTTGTGCAGATCCATCAGTGAAACCTCCTACTCTGAGAAATAGCATCGAAAATTGGAGGCAAAACCGTGTTACAATTTACAAGTGGGAATAACTACAACTTAGACTTTGTACCTACGGGATCCCCACAACAAATGATCGAGTGCGGGGCATACCTCCTACCAGAACTATGTTAATCAACAGAAGCCTGGCCAGCTGTTAACATGATGGCGGTTGTAGTTGCTTGAGCCGCCGTACAACTTGCTTCATTGTAGGTCTGGTAGAAAGAGATTCCACAGTACATACAACTGCTAAGTGTAGAACCTCTACCAAACCATCATGCGGACCTGCATCCCATAATCCAGCAGTGAAGAACTCCCTGGCCTGCCCTTGTCGCAAGAGCATGCATGCCCATTGAACAATGTTGAAACCATTTCCATATGGAGAGAAGGAGGGATCCAAAGCTTTCTTATCAGACAGCAACTCAAGGAGCACCACCCCATAACTGTATACATCAGCCTTGTCAGAAACACGGCAAGTCATTGCATATTCTGGAGCAACATATCCAAAAGTTCCAGCAACACCTGTGGTGGCATGTGTTTCTGAAGTTCCCAAAAGTCTTGCCAAGCCAAAATCTGATAAATAAGCATTGTGGTCATCATCCAACAGGATATTGCTGGGCTTAACATCACGATGGAGAATCCGTGGGACACACTGATCATGTAGGTAAGCCAGAGCACAGGCAATATCCAAAGCAATCTTGTGAAGCACCCTCCAGTCGACAGCTCTTGTGGATCTCTCCTGAATAAATTTTTCCAAATTACCACCAGGCAGGTAATTATATATTAGAAACATCTCCGTATCACTAGAATGATAGCCAATTAGAGTGACCAGATTTGGATGTCGCAACCTCCCAAGGGTTTTAATTTCTGCATCAAATTGTTGATGTCCTTGAAACCGTCCAATTGCAAGCCTCTTTATTGCCACTAAAACTCCAGGTGCAATTTCTGCTTTGTAAGTTGCCCCAAAACCTCCATGTCCAATGCAATTGCTGGCATTGAAATTTCCCGTGGCACGCACAACATTATCAAAAGTCAATGGAGTTCCAATTTCACTGAAAATTGTTACTTCTTTTTTGGTAGCACTGATTCTAGACTTGGGATTCCACTTCCTTGTGTAAAGGAATAATATAACAAGAGCAATAAGAACAGAGACAATTGCTGAAGCAGAAGCTATGGATGCTATCTCAATCGAACTGAAAGAACCATTTCCTCCACTTGGGGGTGGACTTTCTAGTGGGGCAGCAGTAGAATCTAGTGAATTCCCTCTTGCTTGTATATCTGAAGATGGTACTGCTAAGGAGTACACAGGGCAAGGCTGTAGATAAGGGTTTCCAAGAAGACTGCTGCATTTCATCAAACTATTGTTTGAAGGCAGTGGCCCAGACAAGTTATTGAAGGACACGTTAAATGATGAGAGCCTAGTCACATTCTCCAAACCAGAAGGAATCTTCCCTGAAAGCTTGTTGTTATTGAGCAGAAGAGCCGTCAGGTTTCTCAAGTTCACAAGATCTGCAGGAATTTCACCAGAAAGAGAATTTGTAGACAGGTCCAGCACTTCTAAAGATGGCAACTGGCCAAAACTACGAGGAATTGATCCTGTGAGATTATTTCCAGCCAAAGAAAGACATTTCAGACTCTTCATCTGCCCCACATTGTTAGGAATCTGGTCTTTCAGCAGGTTCCAGCTCAAATTAAGTGATACTAGTGATGCCAACTCTCCCAAAGTAGGCGGAATGGGCCCAGAGATTTGATTGACAGAAGCATCCAGAATTTTGAGAGATCTGCATAATTTACCAATTTCAGCTGGAATCTGACCATTCATTCCATTGTTGCTGACATTAACAATCAGTGCATCTAATCCATCACACTTCTCAAACAAACTCCCAGGAAATGGTCCTGAAAGCATGTTTTCTCCGGCAAAAAATGCATAAGTAATTTTTTCCCCCAACCTTTGAGTTGCAATTGGCATTGACAAAAGACTGCCCGTAAAGTTGTTACCTCCAAAATTGTGAAACACAGCAGCAGCACCATCTCCTCCAAGAAATTGATAAGATATTCCAACTTGAGTTTTACCAGCTAAAAATGACAAATATGCAGATGATGGGCTGTAGGGTTCAGAAGAGTATGAATCTGAGGGAAAAACAGCAGGGCATTCATGAGTCTTAAACGCAGGGATTGGACCTGATAATGCATTGCTACTGACATCAAACACACTCATGCAAGGAACTGAAAGGTCTTCAACAAGCTCTCCACTAAGGCCCTTATTTGAGCTCAAGTCAAGGTACGACAGCTTCTTGCAGAGAGTAAGCCCCACAGGAATGTCCCCTGCAAAAAAGTTCTGTGCCAAATTGATCATCTCCAGGTTATCACAAGTGCCAAAATCACTTGGCAACGGGCCTTCAAATGTTGCCCTTGGCGCCCACAATATCCTCAGACTTGAAAGTCTTGTTATTTCAACAGGAATCCTGCCTTGATAAAAATTGTATTCATCATTTATAGAACCTGACTGCTCATCTGAAGGATCCCCTCTTGGTATTGCAAGATCATCATATGGGATAAATAAGTTTGAAAGAACAAGCACAGAAAGTCTAGAACAATTTCCAAGCCCAGCAGGAATCGGACCACTGAGGCTATTCCTTGACACATCCAAGACTTCCAGACTCTGAAGCCGGCCAAGTTCACCTGGAATACCCTCCCCCAACAAATTTGCGTACAATAACAACGTTCTCAACTGACTACAATTTCCCAAACTCTGAGGAATCTTCCCAACAAATAAGTTCCCGGATAAATCCAAATACTCAAGCCTGCAACTGTCTCCAATATCACTAGGTAAGGACCCATGGAGACGACTAAATGACAAGTAAACACCCCTCAATCTACCAACAAACCCAGGTAAAGTTCCATTAAGAGGGTTACCAGCCAAATTCAAGATCTCTAATTTGGCAAAATTCGAAAGAGCATTTGGTATCTCCCCACTAATCCTGTTAAACCCCAGATTAAGAACCCGCAAGTTCTTTAACCCAGCAAAATTAATGGGCAACATCCCAGATAACAAGTTCCCCTCCAGATCAAGAACCTCTAGCTTTTCCATGCCCCAGATTTCACCAGGAATCTCACAATCAAAACGATTGAACGGAAGCGACAGAACCTTAAGCTCACTCAAATCTCCCAAAACAGACAGCGATTTGCCATGCAAACTCCCATTACTACTACCACAATTCCTTCTAATACCAAACCCATATAACGGGAACACGCTAAAATCAGAGCAAGAGAAAACATGTTGACTATCATTTGAACTACCTTTCTCACTGCCGCGACCCGTAATGTTGAGCGACACGACCCGCGAGTTCGAGTCGCAGAGCACACCAAACCAAGAGCAATAATTCGAACTGTCACTGTCACTCCAACTAGACAGCAGACCTGAGGGATCGGAGACCGAGTTCTTGAACTGGAGCAACACCGATTTGTCCGAATCGGCAAAGGCAACGCCAAAGAAGACCCAGAACAGCAAGAGAAAGTGCCATTTGATCACCGACGAAGAGAAATGAACCATCTTTGACTACCCTTTTGCAGGGTCGTGAAAAACCCTAAACCCTCTTTTCTCTTCAAGAGTTGCAGATGGAAAAGGAGGGTTTCTTCTGGTTTTCACGAGAACCCTAACCCTAACCAAAACTTCAGGTCGTTGCAGGGTGGACTGTGGAGAGAGACTCAACAATAGAGACGCGTTTTCCCTCTTTTCCTTTGTTCATCGTCTCTCTTTCTTTTCTTTTTTTTTTTTTCCTTTTTTTTAAGACTTTTCTTCTTTTAATTTTCTCTTTCGGAGAAATTGCAAAAAAGGGTCACACACCTAACCATATTTACGATAAGCTTCACTATATTTTGTCAAAATCTCATAAAGGCCACGCAAAAGGATATTCAAATTTGGATTATGGCATTATGCCAACTTGTCCTTATTTTCATCCCATCTATCAAGCAAAACAATAGTACAAAAGTAGCCGCCACTAACCAGAGTAGACCAATTAATATTTGCTTTACACAATGAATTATATGTTTTATTATTTAAATTATATTAAATTATAAAATAAAAATTATTTTATAAAAAAAAGTTTTTTTTTTGAATAATTTTACAAGAGATTGAATTTGAATTGTTGTTTGAAAGGAGGAGAATGCACTTAAACGTAATTTGATGTCATTAAATCTGAAAACCCAAGTGCAAAATATATATATAAAAAAAAGAGGTTCTTATATCAAAAAGTTTATTTACATTTAATAATTAAAATTATACACTTTAAGATAATTTAAATATTATAACTCCTTTTTATTATATAATTTTATAATCTAAACTAAAAAGATGGCATTTCATAAAAACTCTTTTCATTAGCAATTAGTTTTGTACAATAAACTATCCAAAATATTTGTATTAATATACAAGGGAATAAAGTTTTAAGTTCGAAGTATACTACCAAAACATGTATAATTGGATAGAATAATATTTCACAGTCAAAACATGTATTCTTTTTAAAAAAATATATTAAATATGAAGGGCTTTATGAAATTAAACAAATTCAAGGTTTTGCCGTAAAATATAATAATTTCTTTAAGATGATTTTTTTTTTCCTTGGGCTTTTATATTAGGGACGTCTTATCCGGGATGAAGGATGGGGTCCACAAAGTGGGACCTGATAGGCGATCAATAAACGCATCAGCACCGTCAACTGGGGGTT